TGCCAAGCTGAAGGTCAGTTAGGAGAATTGTGTGAAGAGTTTTGCAAAAGTGACCTAAGTATTGAGAAATGTGTCCTAGCGGCTGTAAAAAACTGTAACTACTTTTACCAGCTGTGGTAGCGAGATGGGTAAGAAACGTTCTGAGATAACAGGCCGAGCTGGAGAAGGAACCGACTATGCAGATGCTGATGGGGAATTATTTTTTCTAGAAAGAAAGAAAAAAAATGTAAACATGGCACACAGGCCAGATCTTGTCTGAACATGTCAGAATAACTGGGCAAATATTCAGAGAAAGTAACAAATTCAGACTTCAAAAAGGCGAGAAGAAGCATAAATGAGCCACATCTCTGTTTTATCTCAGTTTAGCAGATTCTGTATGCATGTATACATGAACCATTCTGAACATGTTCTGGTTTCTTAGGTGATGTAAGCACATCCTGTTCCTCTTCAAAGTGTAATTTCCTGCAGCAGTTTGACAGATGTCAAAGCGATTCACAACAAACCACAACATCACCGCTTTAGCTTGTTTCCCTTTACTGATCTGGAGCATGGCGAGTGCAGTGGAGAGGTTGCTGTGGGCCTGCATTATCCTGGATTCTGGTGTGTGCTCGATCTCACTGCCAGCAATCACTGATTTGAAGTTCATTGAGGAATGTGTGAAGGAGCACAACCTGGCGCGGTCATCTGTCAGTCCGCCTGCTACCGACATGCTGTACATGGTAGGTGAAGAAATGGCGTTTGTTTCCTCTCTCTAGTTCTGGAAAGCAGTACTAAAATCACGGTGAGTGAGCAGTGATAGAAAAAAATGACTTGTTCATGTCTTCTGTGATCTGTCTGCAGACTTTGTTGGGAATGAGGAGGTGAGGGAAAGAAAGTTATTAAAGCATGTACAGTTGTACAAAGCTTCATGCAACACATTCACAAAGCAGACTTGACGTTATTAAGCAGAAGTCAGAGGAAGTAATATAAAAGACAGACAAAGGCACCAATAGTCACAGATAGAAAAGATCTACGGTAAGTAAAAAAATAAAGAACAGTTCGGTGACAACAAAACTGCAATAAATTGCACTCAAACGGCCTTTCTGGCCTGGCTAAAGTGCACTGCAAATGTTGTGGCAAAAACCTCGCCACAAGTTTTGGAAGTCGACTCAGCAATTTGACTTTTTCACGAGTTTTACTTCTGCTTGTGTATCACAAATGTAATGTGCTGACGTTTTGTACTGACTTAGGAAAACAGTGAGGAAGTCAGAAATGTGTATGCACGAAAATGAAACTAGCATGTTAGAAAAAACTGAATTAACAAAAGATGACGTCTAATGCTTCAAATCTTCTGTATCTGCTTATTCAGACGTGGGATGAGGCCTTAGCCATTACTGCCAAAGCGTGGGCGAAACGCTGTATATTTGATCACAACATTTACCTCAAAAATGCTCCCCGCGTGCACCCTTCCTTTCCCTCTGTGGGAGAAAACATATGGACAGGCTCTCCACCATCACAATTTAATACAACAAAAGCCATAAAGAGATGGGTGGATGAAGTAAGAGACTACAGCTACCAAGAGAACAGCTGCAATAAGGTTTGTGGCCACTACACACAGGTATGTGACCTTTTTACTGCACGCATATTGTGGAAAAATATTTTATATTTGTCTGCATGCAACACTTTAACCTCTTTGGTCTTTGCAGGTTGTGTGGGCCAGCACCTACAAAGTTGGATGTGCAGTACAGCTGTGCCCAGATGGCATCAAGCACTTCACTAGTGAAAAAGGTGTCCTCTTCGTGTGCAACTATGCCACAGCGTAAGTTGAAAACATGTATAAACAACAGTGAAATTAGGAAATGAATACTTTAGTCTCAGCAGGTTATTCTGGGCTGCCCTGAATGTCACGTGAAAAAAGGAATTTGTTTATATGTATGTGTTATGCTGCAGTCAACTCATCCAAAATGCTGCTGTGAGAGTACCCACAGGAACTAGAGCCTCGAGGGCCGGTGCCCTGCAGGTTTTAGATGTGTCCTTGATCCAACACACCTGAATCAAATGATTAGTTCGTTACCAGGCCTCTGGAGAACTGCAAGACATGTTGAGGAGGTCATTTAGACATTTACAGCAGCTGTGATGGATCAAGGACACATCTAAAACCTGCAGGACACCGGCCCTCAAGGCCTGGAGTAGAAAGACTGAGCATATCTCTCCCATACTGGCTTCTTGCCATTGGCTCCCTGGCCCCGTCTTATCTCAAAAACCTTATGATCCCAATACAGCACTTCGATCTCGCACTGAGGCTTACTTGTTGTTAGAGTATTTAAAAGTAGAAAGGAAGGCAGAGACTTCAGTTTTCAGCTCCCTCTTCAGTGGAACCAGCTCCCAGTTTAGATGTGGGAGTTGGATCAGATGACCCTACTTTAGTTACACAGCATTAGGTCCTAGAAAGTGTTTCTTCTTCATTCAACTTTTTCACTCACTGGATGTATTCTTATCTCCTATTCCTAACCTTTCTTCCTTGTACACCTTGGAATTGAAACAACCTTGTACTAGTCTCTCCCTAACAATGTGATGCTGGATGTCTGCCGTTCTGAAACTCCTGTTTGCAGAAGACAGACGACAAAATCTTACCTGGGACAATGTGTTCTAACCCCGTTGTTTTATGGAAGTCATACAAACGAAAATAGTCTGTAAAAAATATCATTCAGTATGATTCAAAGGTGAAAGTTTAGAGCCAGTCTGCAGCAGCACAAAGTCTTCTTTTGGCATTAAAAAGCTGCTGGATTTACTAAAGAGGCACAGTGTTAGTTGTGGAGAGGAGTATTTTTGCCACTGGCCTTATGTTATGTGTAAGAATTTCACTTTCAACTAAATATTGTTTTAATAGCTGGGACCACATCCTTATTTAGGTTTGACAGCGCTTCTAGTAGTTAATGGCCGATGCTTTGAGCCTGAATTGAGGCTCCAGTTTGGGGAAAGCCTCAGAGGGGACTGGTGGCTCCTGGGCCAGGCAGATCCTCGTGTACCAGTGAGAAGTGAATGAACTGAAAAGGGAGCAAGGGTGCCGTTACAATGATCTGAGACACTTTTTTAAAATCATGGCCCCAATTAATTGTGGGACAGTGTTTTCTCCTCCCCTTTCATAAAGGTCCAGTGTATCCTATGCTAAAGGAAGCATGTTTTTAGCAAGGATGTTTGTATCTCCAGAATTGGAACAGCTCTTAGTATGGATGCCACACAGATACTCACAGGTCTCTCACTTAGGACCCTCCCTAAGCAGCATGGACTGTTGGAACGAACCCACTGTGTGTTTAGTTATTATTAATCTTTGGCTCTTTTCCATAGCTTCACTTTTATTCTGTCCTTCTCCCCGAACCTTTTTTGTGGTATAAAGAGGTTACTATAAGCAGAAAGTACTGAGAAACAAATTAATATCACTGATTTATACGTTTTTCTGGGATTTTTTGACAATAACAATGAAAGAAAGAAACGTCATCTTTAAAATGACCCTATGTTGAAGCAAGCAGAAGTGTGTGTGTGTGTGTGATAACGTGGAAGGTGGAGGTAAGATGATAAGGGGAAGCAAAGATAATTCCAGAAATCTTCCACCTAGAGTGTGATGAGGTGACTGAGCCTCTGTTTCTTTTCTTTTACAGGGGTAATATAATCGGACGGCGCCCATATGCATCTCAGGGGGGAGCCTGCTCTAAGTGCAGTGACACTTGTGAGAATAAACTCTGTCGTAAGTATCAAGTGTCTCTGGTTCAGTGTGAAAAGTTGCTGCTTATCTTCAAACAAACCACAAGTTCAAATTTCAGCCCAGCTCATTTTAAAGATGTGAAAATTCTGATTAGAAATCAGCATGGATATTAACTCTTTAACACAGTGGGCCTCATTAATTAACATTTGCACAGTAATGTTCTTGCTGTTATTTTTCACAAACCTACAGGATTCATGAATCGTGTGTCCTGTGTCAGCGAATGTGAATCATTGTAAATAAACAAGTTCATGCTTGCTGTCTGTGGGTTGTAATCTGCAACCTGGAACGTTCACCGTGCATGCTGCCCAGGCCCTCTGTTATAGGAAAACACATTTACTGTGGTGTGAAGGAGCTCCAAGAGAAAAACTCACATCACATAATCAAAAAAGCAGAATTCTGACTAAAGGAGGCCAAAAAAAGTCAGAGTGTTTTCTTGGAAGTGACACTGGTTTTAAACATTTTTAAAGTATTTAATAATAATATAAAACCCCACTTGGACTGCATGTATCCCCTGAAACTAAAAAGAGAAAAGGTATGACATAAAAGCTGGTGTAGGACAAACTTATAAAAGACCAAACAAAAAGAAAGAAGCAGGTGGAGGACGGGGAGCACCTTATCTTCCACCATGACTAACTAGGGCCGTGCGATATGACCAAAATCTCATATCCCGATATAAGACATCTATCGTCCCGATAACGATATAAATCACAAAAATGTTACATTTTCTGTAACTTCTGTGAATCTCGGGCCGCTCGACTTGCGTGAAGTGTTTCCAGCTGGACGTCATGTAGTCGAGTGTTTTAACCGATGCGTGAAACGATACATTTTTAGACATAAGTTGTAACGGCGCCGTTTTCTTTGAGTATTTATTACACGGCGTGCTGCGGGGAAAAGCCTGTTCTAACGTTTGAGTCTAAGGTTTATTTTTTAGCACCTGGCGGCTCTTTTTTACTTCTCATCTGTAAATAATCTGCTTTTTTACCTGATTCAGTTTATTTTGAAAAGTCTCAACAGGATCTTGAGCTTTATTGTGAAAGGTTTATGTGGAACATAAACAAGCGGACACGGGATGCTGTCACCGTTGTTGTTGCTAACGACAAGGCATAAAAGCAGGCGCTTGTCTGTCAGTAGTGTGGTTATATTAAATATAAGAGAAAGAAGAAATTAATACAGCCACTGCAGTGACCATCAAAAGGATGAACAAATATTGCCGTAAACAGTTTATTTTGCGACACCACGAAACAAACGATAGACGTTTTTATATCGTCCTCCGATATATATCGTTATATCGAACAGCCCTATGACTAACCCCCTTATCTTTCTACCATGAACCATGAAGTCCGTTTTACATCCTGTCTTTAAATGACTGTAACTTGGTTACCGTTGCAAAATTCAAATGGTTTCAGAAAAAAGAGACAACAAGCTTCATGGTGATGTTCACTTTAGCACAATCACAGGGTAGCGTCTGAACAGAGACAGGGAACTCCGCTCCGCCAGGCTTTGCTTCACATTTCTGTAACTCCTCAACTATTTTGGGCTCAAGAGAAAATTACATTTTTTTCCTATTATTTTATAACCAAAGTCACTAAATAAGTCCAAGTAGCCTGTATGCTACTTGTTTGATTAAGGACTAATGAATGTGGTAAAATACAATTATTACTCATAGTCATTGAGCTGTGTGTTTACATATTAAAAAATGTCATCTTGTTCTCGTGTGTCTTAATGTTGTTGCAGGTAGTCCTGGACGTGATTTGCAGAAAAGTAAGTCTGATGGTGATTAAGCCAAAAAATAACAGCAGTGAAGGGTAAGGTGTTGTTCACATGGCTTTAAAAGTCCACAGCTGAAGTTTGTCAGTGTGTAGTAATGAAGTAAGCAACACTTTCCACTGGACTCAAAATTTGTCATAAAAACCATTTTTGCATTTCCAGGCTACAACTGGAGCCCAGACTGGGACACCTCGGATACCAGCAGCTCTACCTCTGTCAGCATTCTGATCGCTCGGCCGGTTGCCCTCAGCTTCACTTTCATTGCAGCGTATTTAGTCCACTACTTCTACCCTGATGTATTCTGCTATGAATAAAGCAGCTTGGCCTGAGCAACACTGATTTCCTTTAGACATTAAACAAATTATTCTGTCCATGTGAGGCTTAGGCCCAAAAATGTAACATGTATGAAAATTAATAAAATTACTTTTATCTCTGCTTAATTATTATCAACTCCACTATCAGTCTCACATTATAGCACCAACAACAAAGTCAGTGCTCAAAAGTAATCTCTCATTTGACAGCACATTTAAGGCGGTCAGGCCAGACGGCTACGAGCTGATGACAACAGTGACTCAGCCACGCGTTCAAACCGGGGGGTGCAGAAGAGCAGTTTTAAATGCACAACACAAACCTTGTATCAGTTGGGCTCCAGTAAGAGCAGAATGGGGGATTTGCACTATTCATGTACAGACAAGCAACTGTGTGATGCTGTCATGTCAATATGGACCAAGATCTGTGGTCACCAGGTGGTCCAGCACGTGGTTAACGTACACAATACTCCCCAAAGTATTCGCTCATCTGCTTTCACACACATATAAACTTGAGACTTTAGTGACATCCAGCTGCAGAGTGGGGGGCACAGTTAGGCTCAGTGGGTGAACAGGTGACCATATGGCTTATAGCCAGAGAGCAGTAGGCCTGGGTTCAACTCTTCTAGGAAGGCTTTCAAAGGTTAAGGACTTTTTTTAAATGAGAATTTGTGGCCATTCTTCCAGAAGCCCGTTTGTGAGGTCAGACACTGATGTTGGACGGGAAGGCAGGCTCGCTGTTGCTAATTCACCCCAAAGGTTTTCTGTTGGACTGAGGTCAAGACTCTGTGCAAGCCAGTCAAGTTTACTCACACCTCACTTGCTTGTCCATGTTTTTCTGCACTGACGCACAGTCATGTTGGAACAGTCTCTAAACTGCTCCCACAAAGTTGGGCCCATGAAAATGTCTGTAGTGATCGACTCTAAAGAAAGATGGTGATCTCTGCATACTCTGCGCCTCACTTTGATGTAATACCAATCAACAGTTTACTGTGAAATATTTAGGAGAGGAAATTCCATAGCATTCCTGAGAGCAATCCATTCTTTCACAAATACTGGTAGAAGCAATCTGCATGCCCAGATACTTGACTTAATACACCTGTAGCCATGGAAGTGACTGGAATGCCTTATTCCCATTATAGTGCAAGTCAAAGAAGGCAAAAAGGGTCCAACCCAGGCCTCGAAAGGTGTGCGAGGTGTATTTCTTTAAGTTTTTGGAGACTGGACATCTATGGTAACACAGTAAAAATGGAAATTAAGGGAAATGTAAGAAAACAAGACCTAGTTTATTTAAAAAAGAAAACAACTCCTTTAATTTTACAACATTTTTGTTCCTCTTCTTTTTTCTGGAAATAATTAATAGCAAGCGAGTCAAACAGAAGGAAAAAAACAATTCCCGTCACTGTAACTCTGTAAAAAGGAACGTCAAGACAGACGATGAAGCATCATCTTGATCCACGCTCTACACATTCACTGAAACTCTTCTTGCTGTGAGCTCAGAGTCTTTTCTCTGTCCAACACGTACCACAGCACAGTGCACAGTTAGCCTTTGCTTTTCGCTTTGTTGCTCTTCTTCTTCTTCTTCTCACTGGTGCTGCTGGTGGGAGCTGCAGGGTTTAATGGTGGAGCACCCAGTTTCTTTGTTTTGGCTTTCTTTACTTTGTCCTTTATAGCTTCGATGTCCAGCTTGCCTTCTGTAGGAGCTGTGGATACATTGTTAGATGAGACAAGAGTTGACAAATTAAGGGCAAAGCTACACCAAGTGCTCAAGCATCCAGGTTTTTCCTTTAATTTGTCACTGCTAGGTTCTGAGATCAGTGCTTGTTTTAATATTTCTACCTTTAGCAGTCTTCTTCATCAGAGGCTTCTCTTTAGGAGGAATGAAGGCTTTGTTCCGCTCTTCTTGCTTTTTGGTCAGTGCGGTGGCCTGTTTCACCTAAAAAGAGGAAGTAAGTTCACAAAGGCGACGTTACACAACGCTTGGTTGCTGCCACTGAAACTCGAAAGCAGCCTGAAGAAAACACAAAGCCACCACAAATGCTCACCTTGATTTCTTCCATCTTCTTCCTTTTCTTCACACTCTCCCGCAGGAAGAACTCTCCTGTGGCCAGCTCCTGGTCAACCTGCACAGGAAGTCCACATATTTGAAACGCACTTTAAATTGCCTCAACATGCAATGTAGTCTCAGCGGCTGTGTGTGTTTGTTATACACATAAACATGCTTCCCCTGACCTTGCTCTCTGGCTGTGGAGGAGGGAACGGGGTGTACTCCTTCTTCACGCTCTTCTTCTTGGGTTCCTTGCGCTTGGCGAGATTCTTGTGTCGGAACTTGGGCAGGAAGCGCTCCCAGTTTTGCATCCGCAGTTCGGGGTCTTTGGACAGTTCTCGTTTGATCATCAGAGTCTGATGGTTGCAGTCGTGGGTGGTGGTGGTGATGGAGGGGCGGAACAACAGTTATAAAGATGCAAAACTTTGGTCATGTTGTGTATTTACACCTTATGTAGAGACTGCAGTAAAATGCTGTTTTATTAACTGTACTGTGCAAAAGTCGCTTATTTCGTTTTTTGCTAGAAAACTGGGAAATAAGTGCAGTGGTTGGTGGAGGGATTTACTGAAATGTGCAAACATAAATGGAAATACAGAACAAAGTGAAACCAAAGAACATTTCCAACAAGTCAACGTCTCAGAGGAAATTCCAAGGCTCTTATTGTCACGGTTCTGTGTCCGTGGGACCCAGTATTTTGAGTTTATTATATTTTGGTTTTATTCTGCTTCATGTATGTATTCCATGTTATTTTGTCTCTCAGTGTCGAGTCTGCGTTCTTGTTTAGTAATTCATGTTTCCTGTTTTATTGTGAAAGTCTTTGTCTTACGTTAGTGTGTGCAGCTTTGTTCCCCCGTCTCGTTAGCCCTGATCTCTCCCAGCTGTGTCTCCCTCCTGTTGCCCACTCCCTCATTACTACTCTGTGTATTTAAGCCCTGTGTTTTCCCGTGCTCGGTGTCGCGTCGTACCCTCAGATTATGCCTGTGTGTTTTTGGTCTCAGTGTTCACTTCATGTTTTGTTTTCATGTCAGCAATAAAGCTGAGGTTTTGAGTTGCATTCTGTTTTCCGAGTCCTGCATTTGGATCCTCACCTCTGCCTGCCCGCACACAGAGCCCTGACACTTCTTTTGTTCTGTTCACAAGATGATCCCACACAGTTTGAATAACACTGATCTGCTTTTCCATCAGATATGCTTTTACTGCATTGGCAGTGAGTTTGAGATCACTGTATTGCATGATAGCTCTGAATCTGATGTGTTTTTCTGCACTCAGAATTCCACCATTTGTGACGAGAGCTCCACTGAAACCACGACAGAACCTCCAGCGTGTTTTACAGACGCTGGAAACTCGCTGTTGTATCTCTGTCCCAACCTCTAATACCAACAGGAACATTTAGAGTTTCAATCCATCAGACCTGTTGACACTGATGTTTAGTTCAGGGCTTGTGTAATTTAAGCCTTTTTCCCAGTTAACTTCCCTTAAGAATAGCTTCTTCAAAGCCTGGAATACTTCAGTTAGAAGGTTTTCAAGGAGGCGTTGTGTTGATGCCTGAACCAGCTCAACAGGCTCCCTTTGATGTTCTGTTAAGGAGGAATATTTTTCTGTTGTAAAATATTGGAAAAACATTCCTATGAAAATGATCAGGTACCTCGACTGTAAAGGAATGAGGGAAGAAAAGCTACTATTCAAGACCACTTTAGAAGAAGGTCTGGCTCCATGGAAGTCAAATATATTAAAATGATGGCTGGCTAAAGACTTTTGCACAGTGCTGTAAGCTGTAACTACTGGTTAGGCCATTTAAATAACATTCTGTGACTCATACAAAACAGGAAGTCCTATTTTAAATAGTCAGCTGTGTGAAGCGTGCTCTTTCATGCCCTCAGCTCTGGGCTGAGCCAACCTTGGCGTGCAAACCCAGAGAGATGGACTTCAGTCAGGAAATCAAGAACAAGGATGGAAAACATCATCACTGGGCATAAAGGCAGCGCACAGTTTCACTCTGACTGTTGTTTCTGCAGCAGTCTGAACACACCTTGATGTTGTAAATGGGATGAATGTTCTTCATGGTGTCCGACACCACTTTACGAACCTGAAAAGCAGAAGAACAAGTTTTGAAAATCCTAAATGCTTCAACATTCTTTGCCTCATTACAGAAACAGTTCACCTCTCCATCAGGTTTAGCTAAACCCAAGCTGAAGGGTGTTTGTATCACACCAACAACTTCTCTCTTTTACTCTCACGCATGAACCCACACAGTGGGCTCAGGTGTTTAGCTGTCAGGAGGTTCTGTATACCCTGATGTCACAGGATAAACAAACACACTAAAGTAGTCAGCGTAGGCACCTTTTCATTAATACAACTGATCTTATTATGTTTAGTAGGGCTGGGCTATATCATACCATTCACGGTAGTACCGGTGTAATGTTGGGCAACGATAGGAAAATGAAATATCGCGATAGAATATGGGTAAAACGCGCACGCGCAGTGCCTTTGTTTACATAGGCACATGGCGGTGACGCAGAATGAGAAGAGCGAAAGTGGATGGTTGAATGAAACAGATGAACCTGAACTGGTTTGTAAAAATGCTGCAGCTTCACTGGTGTGGAACTGGTTTAGCTTTCGTCC